AATTTCTTGTATAGGGAATACGCTATTACTGTATGTCTCATGGTAAGACCTGGATCCTGGAAATAATTTTTCGTTTTGAGGTCCCCAAAGGCCAAAAACACCACCAATTTGATGTGAAAACCCTTGTAACAAACAAAACTTCTTAACTGTTATTCCATAAATAATAAGTTGAGTTTCCAAAGGTCAAATGACATACGTTTTTTGAATGAGTGTGCAATAACTCAGAACAGACTCAAATAACCAAAATATTCGCATCAATGTAAAAATGTTTACCAAACCTAACTCCCTAAACGAGCACATTTTCTTTGTACCAGAAGACATTCTTTGACGTTTAAATTGTAACACGCTCATTCTCTTGTGGCTGGCAGTTTGTACAAACAGTTTTCCTCGTTTTACGTTTTCACAAAAAGTAATGAATATTGTGTAAGGAGTTTTTGTGTAAGTTCCCCCAGTAAATAGTCAGTTTTTAAATTCATTTTAAATTAGTAAGTTGTAGATAGGTTAATAGTTCATTTCTTTTGTTCTATATTCAATTAGTTATTTTCACTGTGGATGCGATACTCCCTGGTGTGGATTAACGTCCGCACTAGTGAGTACTACAACTATCCACAGTACTATCCTAATAATTAGACCAATTCGTTAATTACAAGGCAAAAATGTGGTTCAGATTCCACTATAACCTGTAGGTTGCTATTATGGGCTATTAATTAACAGCTGTGTCTAAGGAATTTGTCGGTCTTAGTCACTAATAAGACTACAAGATCGCACCACTCATCCTACTCTCATCTCCATCCATATTTGGCTTAAAACACCTACATTCATACGGTCACCATTTCGAAGAAAAGTATTAAAATGTAAAGTATAATATAGCGTTGGTATTCGTGTAACATAATCGTAACATAATTTGTACACTCAATAAATATTGGAAACCCTCTGATAAATTTACACATCATCATTATACAGATTTATATTTACCATAGCCTAGTAATGTGATAGGTTGTAGCTTCGGCGAACTAGTTAAGCAACACTTTAATTATCCTTGATATTGGATTGAACCTGTATTGCAGTTCTAATCGGCCGAACACGATGATATATTGGTAATGCAAGTATAATTAGGTAACTGCCCGCATGCTCTGCAAACATACCCCCCCCCCTCCACCAACATGACAGGGAAATTACAGATTGAAACATATATTGTGATATATTGCAGATTTGTACTTGTGGATCAGATGAAGACAATGTTAGGAATTTTTTGCCCATGTTTACCAGGGATGTTTTGTTTCCTGATTGTTTTTTCTTGTTTTAAAAGCTTAAACATTATTTTATCTCAGTATTATTTCATTGTATACTATTACTTCTAATTTTGTTATTACCAAAAGTAAAGAAAATGTTTTCAACCCATCCCACTACCACAGAGGAAAATTAACACATATCAGCATACTAAATTTTAGCCAAATATGAAAAACGGATTAAAAATGTTTAAAATGTTACAAAAGGTTGTAAAATAATAATTCCAGAATCCAGAAAGTTAATTGGCAAAAAAATGATAGAATCATCTTGTCAGAAACGTTCTGGACGACACGATGCAATTTTTAGAGCAAAGAATTCAAAAGAAAGAACATGCTACTATTGCCAAAGCTTTAAATATCGTTCCATTCAACACTTTATTACCGTTTGACTGAAGATATAATTTTTTTACATAATCTCTTTTTACGTACAGATTATGTGTATAATTTTCTAGCCCACTTAATAATTCATAATGTCTTCATGCGTAGGCTTTCGCGGCCGTTGTCATTGATTAACGACGCGGTTGACGCCGAAAACCATCACCATGGAATTCATAATGTCATTCAATTTTTGATTCAATTCCCTTTAAACAAACGTATGGTTCGGAGGTTTTAATATTTTGGAAATCAACATTTTATTTTTTCTATGTATAAATAGTGATTGGCCAAAGTGTAACATTGGCAGCCTTCTCTAATTGAAAGAGTGCATCTTTTCCTTTTGAGGTTTTGAAACTAAAAATTGTATATTCAGTGAATAACACACGCCTTGAAAACTATAAGATTTATCTATGAGTTGAGCATGAAGTGTTGAACATGTTGTATGCTTAAGTGGTTAGTTAAACACCCATAACCGTTGAGAAATACCTTGTGGTACGTAATTACCTGGTGAATTTATCGACCTAGACTATCGTTACACGACACCTATCTTATACAATTTGTCATCTCGCACATGGACGATATATTCCCACGTTGGCAACACTTAACCATGAGTAATATAATAACTTAGTGCATTAAACGTTGAATTCACCCTAGTAAAATATCGAGTCAGTGACCACGTGGTTGAGATCATGCGTTGATTAAAATGAAATCTTCATTTTTGTTTATCCACCGTTTTATGTTTGCTTTTTCAAATTTGTTTGTTAAAAATATTCGATATTTCCTGTTATTTTCCACCAGTTTTTGTAGTAATCATCTAATGTTCTTTGTAATTTTTTGGGTCAGATCCCGAATCCCAAATCGTTATACAACTTTTGTTTAACGAATTACGTAATGGAAAATGTTCCCCCTAAAAAATCCTTAAAGTTTGAATAATAAAAGTTAAAAGTTCAATGAAAACACGAACACAACAAGGACACCACGAAAAAGTGTTGTAGTCACTTCTGTATTCAATAGTGACTTCGTGGATTCCCTTAACCATTTTAATTCAAAATGTGCTATTTTCACAGAGAAAATGGTAACTAAACCAGATACACCTGTACCTATAACAGGTAAATTGTTAACTATAAACAAATTGTGCTGTGAATAAATTAAATATTTTAAATTTACTTCCATGAACTGTTGAATGGTATTCAAAATAAATACATAAATAATTTTGGTCTGTGAAATAATCTATTTGTTTAACTTTCACACGAATTGCATTCATCTGGATACATAAATTATACCTCATAAAATAATATTGGCTCTGAGAGAAAGTAAAGGAATGTATGCATAAAAGATTTACGGGTTTGGGAAGATAAAAGAGGGTTGTTTTATTTACTTTAGATAACGTGAGAAACATAAAGTAGAATGTAAACTTTCCCTCTAACTCGATGTAAACAACACAAAAGAATCGCATTTATATAATTGGTTTGACAAGGAAAAACAGTTTTTAAACGTGCATTACACATTGAGTGTCTTGTAGGTTAAGTGCAAAGTAAATTTGAGGTTATGTTTCAACAACACATGGCAATGTGTGAGGTTATCTATGTACTACTACTACCACCATTGACTATAAATACTGTGTTGGTTTAATCATGAATGAATATGTGTTGTGTTTGTGAATTATTAGTTTTTACAATTAAAATAGTTGTTATGTAATTGTTAATTTACGACTTCTTCTGAACTATTAAACAACTTTAACAGCTAGAGTAGTTAAAGGCTTACTAGTGCCTTTGTATTTATATTTACATAGTGTTTATAGTAGGTGAGCAGTGTTTCACCTTCTTCAAAACATTGTGTGTTTTGTTGTTGACATATTTAGTATATTACTAAACTAACTCATGACACAAATTCAAACACAATAAAGGTAACTGTTATGTTATCTGCTGATACTTCATAATCTCACCAATCTTTGGACATGACTCATAAGGTATCCCTTAAAGCATTTCCTTGTACCTAAAAGCTTTTAGTACATGAAGGTAACTGTTTTGGTATTTACTTGTCCTGACAATCTTTAATCTTATCAGTACCTAGCTTGTAACTGTTATGATCCAAATGGCCTGTTATTATATAATCTTATCAGTATCCAGTACTTAGTAACTGTTATATCTATCCTGATAATCCTTAATAGTGTCAGTAACTGATAACTGATAATTGACGTGTTTTGATACCATATAATCTTATCAGTACCTAGGACTTAGTAAGTGTTATGATATCTACATAGACTGGTAATCTTATTAGTACATGAAGGTAACTACTATTATATCCACATGGCTTAAAACTTTCTAATCTTATTAGTACATAAAGGACTGTCGTGACATCTACATGTTCTTATAATTTATAATCTTATCGGTACCTAAAAGTTACTCTTGTGACATCTATATGTGCTGATACTTATGATCTGACCAGCCTTTTGAAGACAATTGTTATGGCATCTAAATTTACTGATTAATCTAATTGATAATATAATGAACACCGTAAGGTAAGTGTTGCGGCAACTACATCTTATGTTTAAAAATCTTGTCAGTACCTGATGATAACCATATCGGTACATATAATGATACTTTACAATGTATCCAACTTTTACGATCTACATGTCTTAATATTTTGTAGCAGTACCTGAAGTCAACTGTCATCTACATGTTATAATACCATATAAAGGATTTGAAGATTACTATTCTGATAACTACACGTGCTGACGCTTTACAATCTTATCAGTGTCCGAAAAAGCTGTTATAGTAAATACCTACTTGAAATCTTTTGGTACCTGAACGCGATGCCTAAAACCTTATTAGTACCGGAATATGGTGACTACAAATCTTATTAGTACATGAAGATGGTGTCTCAAAAATCTTATCAGTACTTGTAGGTGGTAACTATAAGTATTATCAGTACTTAAAGGTGGTGTCTAGAAATCTTATCAGTACCTGAAGACGTCTAAAAATCTTATCAGTACCTGAAGGTGGTAAGTAAAAATCGTATTAGTACCTGAAGGTGGTAAGTAAAAATCTTATCAGTACCTTAAGGTGGTACTAAAAATCTTATTAGTACCTGAAGTTGATATCGACAAATCTTAGTAACTGAAGGTGATGTTAAAAATCTTATCAGTGCCTGAAGGTGGTGTCTAAAAATCTTATCAGTACTTGAAGGTGATGTTTAAAAATCTTATCAGTAACTGAAGGTGTCTAAAAATCTTATCAGTATCTGAAGGTGATGTCTAAAAATCTGATCAGTACCTGAATTTAGTGTCTAAAAATCTTAGTACCTAAAGCTCATGTCTAAAACTCTTATCAGTACCTGAAGGTGAGCGTCGTCAGAGGCCGGTAACTCTTGTGGCTCCTCGGATCTGCGAGTGGTGTTCCCCAGAAGTCATCACCGAGCAGGGACAGCAGCGGTTGTGTCCCGAGCACGTCTGGGTTCCGAACCACGGCGACCACATCGTCGTGTACGAACTCGCCGTAGAGAGCGTTGGCGTAGCACGCGGCCGCCACTCCGGCCACCACGAGGTACCTGGCCATCACTGACGCGTCGCCAGACTGCACTGCCCTTATACCGGCGTTGCGACGCTGCCACCCCCTGAAACATCCCCCCACCCCCACCCCCCATCCACCCACAACCTTGACTCACAGACACACTTTGTAACTCCGGACGTCCAACTTTCTCGGTGATTTCTTCCTCGTTAGAGCGAATGTAGGTTAATCTTCGTGTTTGATTTATTCGGTTGGTTGTTGTTTGTAGAATTTTTATACTCGTTGATGTTTTTATATTGGGAAATTTATTGGTATAGTGATTTGACATGTGTTTATATACACGAAACAGTCAAACATGAAGAAGAATCACATTTATAATCACACAAAAATTATCAGTTGGAATACATATTATCATGCACACTTATTTTACATGATTGACAAAAAACATTTTTTTAAGTGACCTGTAAATAAAGGGTGTTTTCGTTCATTTTTCTAAAACTATTTTAAAGTGTAGCGATAGACAAAAGCTTCACATTTTCCTCCCAACATAGAGGCCTAATAGATTATTCGTTTTCGTTGTAGTAAAAAAGTACATAACAATTTAATATAAGTCCTACATTGTTGGCATTTTAGTCAGCTGATTCGAAATTACTAAACATGGTGCTCCTTTCGCTTTCAATGCAAAGTGAAGATTATGGAATAAATCTGTCAGTCCATGCAAGTTTTACCTTCTTAAGATTTCGAACATTGGTTACTAGAGTAAATTTGTGTAATTCTTTGATAACTTCACTGCAAATATATTTCCTTGATTTATTACCATCTCTAATTGGATATACCATATTCAGATTTTATTATAATTTTTATATAATTTTCCAATCATTTATTGCATTTTAACGTGAGAAATTTACTGGGGGAAATGCGCAACTCTGCTGTTCGATGAGATATTTTTTCTAACGTTTCCTCAACTTGATTCAAACAACTTTAATGTTTTATAGCATTCTGTGCTGAACAACCAAGATCATTCCCTGAAGTATCTCCAGCCAGAAGAACAGTCAGCGAGGTGTTGTCTAGAAGCCTCATCTGACTGAAAAGTGAAACTCTGGACTTTCCAAACTTGCATTACAAAACTGGGGGCGTGGCGTCATCCTGTAATCCAGCTACTTGGAATCCACTAATTGTAAATATTTAAAGAGTTGACAATGTGCATGCAGGCTCAATTAGCTCAACTCAAGAAAGGGGAGTAGACAAGAAAGATGTGGGAGCAGTTCCAGATCAAGACACATAGGATAAGGGGGTCGCGCGATCTTGTAGTCTTGTTAGTGACTAAGGCCGACATATTTCTTAGACACAGCTGTTAATTAATTGCCCATAAAGCCAATGGCAACTAAGGGACCTGCAGTTTATAGCGGAATCCGAATCAAATTTTTACCTTTTAATTCACGAATTGGTCTAGTCATCAGGATAGTATTGCAAATAGTCGTAGTACTAACTACTACGGTCAATTCACATAAGGGAGTAACGCATCCACAGAGCATGCCTATAAATATCCATAATTGTGGATATTAATAGGATAAAACATTGCTCCTCTCTCTACAGGTCCAACACCTTTGGTGTCTTGATCTGCTCTGCCATCTTCCTTGTCTACCCCCCTTTCCTGAGTTGAGCTAATTGAGCTTGCATACACATTTTCAACTCTATAAATATCCACAATTCGTCAAGTCTAAGTAGCTGGATTACGGACGACGCCTCGGTCCCAGTTTTGTAATGCAAGTTTGGAAAGTCCAGAGTTTCACTTTTCAGTCAGATGAGGCTAGACAACACCCCGCTGACTGTTCTCTGGCTGGAGATACTTCAGGGAATGATCTTGGTTGTTCAGCACAGAATGCTATAAAACATTAAAGTTGTTTGAATCAAGTTGAGGAAACGTTAGAAAAAATATCTCATCGAACAGCAGAGTTGCGCATTTCCCCCAGTAAATTTCTCACGTTAAAATGCAATAAATGATTGGAAAATTACATAAAAATTATAATATAATCGCAATATGGTACATCCAAATAGAGATGGTAATGAATCAAGGATATATATTAGCAGTGAAATTATAGAAGAAATAAAAAAATTTACTCCAGTAACCAATGTCCGAAATCTTGAGTAGGTAAAACTTGCATGTGCTGACAGATTTATTCCATAATCTTCACTTTGCATTGAAAGCGAAAGGAGCAACATTAGTAATTCGAATCAGCTGACTAAAATGCCAACAATGTAGGACTTACATTAAATTTGTATGTACATTTTTACTACAACGAAGACGAATAATTGATTATGCCTGTATGTTGGGAGGAAAATGTAAAGCGGCTATCCATCGAAACGTTTTAAAATTGTTTTAGAAAAATGAACGAAAACACCCTTTTCTACAGGTTACTAAGTTGAAAAATATATGTTTTGGCAAATAAGTAAAATAAGGTTGCATGATAGTAACTATTTCACTAGCTAATTTTTGTGTTATTATAAATAAAGTGGGATCCTTCTTCAAATTTCACTTCTTACTTTGAGTGTACAGCATTCACGTAAAATTAAAGCTATTGAGGCCAAAGAGAAACCTTTCAGTTGTCAACAATATATTTCTTACTTTAAGATTTTCATGAAAATACAGGCCTAGGCCTGTTCAAATTTATAGATTGATGTGTTGTGGAAATGAATAAAATGCTCATCAAACTTTTGTACATTATTTGACATTTTTACAATTTTTGCCTTAGCTCATGGGTGTGTTTGTTACAAAACTCTCATTTAAATTGATACAGTAAGTGAGAGTCATAACTGCTGCTTACATAAACAAAGTCGACTAAAATATTACCATTTTAATGATTTGAAATAGACTACAAAAGAATATTATGATAAACTACATTGACCAAAGACTATTCTCAGAGTTTGATAATGGTTATCCTCTAGCAAAGCTCGATCATCCAGGTACTATTTATTAAAATGGCACAGTTTAATTGAGTTTATAAACACAGCTGTTCATTCATTGTTGTTCAAACTGTGAAAGAATTGGAGATGCTCGGGTGCTCGCATTGCTTAATTTTGAACTACATCAACCATAACCGAACAGAGACATGAAATCCATTAGAAGCAATGTAGTTTGATATGAAGCTTCATGGTGACATGGAACAGAACTAAAAGAGCTGCATGGGAAGACTGAGTCCAAAAGGTTTGACCACCTCAGACTAAAAGCCTGGCCCTTTCACATTAAAGTAAGGTATGAACACTGATGAAGCAGAATCATGAAGATTATCTGAGGATAGTAGTTTGTGATGAGCAGTCTTAAAAATAAAATTCTTGGCTTCTTTCATTGGAAAAGCGACAAGTTTAAATAATTATATCGTGGAGTGTTCCAAGGTGGGAATAAATGCAGAACAGCATTTAGATAAGTTCAAGTCCTTTTAAATGGATTTGGAAAATATTATTAAAACTAACATAACTATTGAAAAGCTATTATTATAGCTGTTATTTTTAACGATTAAAAATTAAATTAACAATAATGGTTACTAATTTTTAATAACATCATTATGAATTTTTAAATGTTTATTGATGGGTTTGATATGTTGGATAAGATTATGTTTAAGGACCAACATCTTTTTTGAATTCTATTGAATTTGAATTTTTTGAGAATAAACCCCTAAGTAATTGGTCTCAATAAACACTTTGGAAAATGGGTTTAATTTTGACGAACAACACCAACCTACCAAATAGACTGGTAAAACAAAATAGACCATTTGTAACTGTATTCCTATTATACCAGATGCAATGCATTTTGGAAAGAATTGGTTTCACTATGAAAATATTGAACACAATAGTTTACCCAAGAAGACACGTCATCAATTTCATCCATGGAAGACATGAAAAGAAATCTAGGGAACAAGAAATAACAAATCAGAACTCACAAGTAATGGTGAAAGTGGATTGGACAAATAAGTGCTCAAATAAACTCGATCAAATATATCTCAATTCATAGACTCTAGTGGACAGGTGGTGAGTTTTACTACAGATTTTTTGTTTTTAATTAGTTTTCCTTGATTATTGGGCTATAAATAAATGATCCTGACTAATGAAAAAGCTGATAAAGTGCTTCAGTTGTAATAAAGTCAGTAATAAAGCTATACAGTATACAGATCATCTCACTCCACTCTTCACTCATATTTGGGTTAAAATGCGCACATAGGTGGCGTCTCCATCTTATTTAATAATGATAATCAGATAGTTTAGTTGAACCAGCTGTTTAGATTCTTTAATTCCATTTAAATATGAGTACTCATAAGGTTAACATGGGAAACTCCAGAGCCACTGGGGCGGAGCCCTTTTGACGGATCTGCACCAAACTTCACACAAACCATCCTTGAATAATGCTTAATAATGCCTGAAATCTTCATTACAATCTGTCGAGCGGTTTTGGAGTCCATAAAGGACAAACATACAAACAAACATACATTGGATTTTATAGATATAGATGATAATGATAATAATAATGAATAATTGTAAATAAGGAGTTTTAACTATATGGTTCAAATTTAAAGTTATAATTTCTCAGCAGAAACAATTGGTCAAATTATGATTTTTGAAATTTCGATCTATCTTAAATTACATGTTTTAATTGTGATTGTAAATTATCTTAGTATATTTATATTTGTTCTTTTGTTTTTCCTTTTTCATGAACAAGTTTCAATTAAACTGGAAACTAGTAAAGTATCTTCATAACACACAAAAAGCGTAACTGTGAAATTTTCAGAATTTCAACGTTTTAAAGTATAACGAAACCAGCTTGCTAAAAAATGAAAAGTGTTTAGTTTTCAAATTAAAAATACACATTAAATATGAGGTTTACAATTTTTTTGCAGGAAAATTAAATAATTATTAAACACAGGATATGTTCTGCAACGAACTGATGTTAGATTTAGTTGTGCAGATTGACGTGTAGGTGCAGCACTGCCTGAAGCGATAAAGAAGATCACTTAACATTTTGAATAACGAGATTAATCGGAATAACACCGTTATAA